TGGCCCAACTGCCATTCTCTGAACATTCACAATACTGTTGCATGAGAAAAGTTGAGGATGTCAGTAGTTTCCAAAATACTAGAATTGGCAGTTCTTGTCCCCAAGATCATGCCTTGATCACAGACATTTAAATCTTTTGTCTTACCCATGTTCAGACAAACTACACTGATAAACAGTTTACTTGATGCTGAGCATGCCTTTTATATGTTATACATTGCTGTTATCTCACCATGCATCACTAATGGATCTATCCAAATTAGAGTGAGGGATGTCTCTAATAATTTGGCCACTCATAATAAGTGCAACATCTGTCCTCCACTGATTTTAAGAATTTTGGTACAAAGGTAGTGTTTGATATGGTGATGCAATTATCCAAACTGTTTCATTCTATCGACCATAATGGGTGAGTTATGATTAATTGAATGTGGAACTACTATTAATGGCAGTTGAATAATACAGTAGTTCAATCACACAGATGCTGATCTGCCTGAGAAGAGAGAAGCAGCAAGGAAAGGTTGATGAAAACAACAAAATAAAATAAATATAACAAGCAATTAGTTACAGTGACATCATCACAATGTCGGCTGCAATTTTTAATCATAATTTTAATTTATTTAATTTAAAATATATGCTCTCTACCTCAAATTAGTAGTGGCTTGCCCTGTACACTATACTTTTCCTTTAACAATAGAATCATGCTAGTCATCTACTCCTTTCAGGGGAAAACTTTTGAATTGAAATAATGTGACTTCCTGTTTGAACTAAAAATTTGAATACAGTTAATTGGGACCCCAATTAACTATATTCTAATTTTGCCCCTAAAGTTTCCATATCTGGTCTCATCTTTCATTTATCTAACTTTGTTCTTGAGATTAAGGAAAGACGAACAGACAACAGTGGGAATTTATAGGTCTAGAATTTTTTCAAATTGTAACCCAATAAAATATATTTTTTGACTTACTGCAATTTTTTGCACATTTAAAACAGGAGACTAATAAAAATTACTAAGATGAAAAAATTAAAGACTACATAACATTTGGTCTGGAACAGGGGGTGGCCAACAGTTTTTGCCCCGAGCCGAATTGGAAAGAAAACTTTTTTCACAGGCCAAACCAGAGGCTGCCCTAGGAAGATTTTGAGGTGGTGTGAGATCTCATTGTAGTGTCACCCCATAAATAGTACATAGAGATTACAGATACATTTTTCATATTATCATGTATAATCAACATTCTATGCTGTGGTGAAGACATTTGTAATGGAGTGTTAACTCTAAACACACAGTTAGTCGTTGACCTTTTTTTTTTACCGATCTATTCTGACTTGAGTAGTTAATATTGTAAGATTGATTGTGGGCCACATAAATCCATTACAAGGGCCACATCCAGCCCGTGGGCCATATGTTGGTCATGCCTGGTCTAGAATCACCAAAGGCATTGCAATCTATGCTTAGTTATGTCACCACATTTGTCAATCATGTCTCTGTAATGTCATCTTTTACAGAATGACATCATACCAACATTTTGAAATCTGCATTCCCTCATTCAAATTGATATTATCCTTACATTTTTTTAATTTCAACATGTTCTTTAAAATTTTTTTATATATTTCTACTTCTTGTATGGAGAACTGTTCATTATTGTTGTGTTACAATTTTTTTCTGATCAGTGTTTCAAACACAGCAAATCACTGCATTTTAATTTTATAGGTACTTGATGTTCTTTAATGTGGATTTTTAATAAATTTTTTGTCTCACAAACATATATTTTTGCATAGAATACATGTGCATAGAATTCTATATACTACTACTGCTATTACTCTGTCCTCAATGGATTGTTGTTTGTTTTTTAATTTTACTATTAGTTGGAATATAATTCTCTATTTCCTAGTAAAGGTGCAAGACCAATCTTATTTTCATAAGGCTTTACTTAGTCTATTGTTTATTTCCCTAATATAATGGTTTGGAAATATTATCCCTAATATAATGGTTTTAAAAACATTTGAAGTTTGAACTATTACATTTTTTTGTGTCAATGGAGAGGGATTAAGCTCCTGTAGCCCTTTCCCTTGTATCTGCCACTGCTGAGCAGCAATATAACACTTCTTATGTATGCTATTAAAATTATGAAAAATGCAATAATTCTATATTGATAAAATATGGGTACCACAAGAAAAAATTACCAAATTTGGATGCTACTATTAGAAAAAGGTTAAAAACATTGCTCTAGATAGTGGACCTCCAAATACACTGCTGGCCAAGTAAAATGCAACACCATGTAGGCCTCTATATATTGCAGGTGTTGCATTTTACTTGGCCAGCAGTATATATAAAATACTTTTACCATGTTATTCTTATGTATTATTTGCTTTTTACTTTTCTGTCTGCAAATTTAAGTAAAATTTTTGGAAGTTTTTCCATACACTTCAACTATATATATTTTAATTACTTTATTTATTTGCATATAGGACGAGATTTTTATCCATTTTTCACTGCTTCAAAAACCTAGGTCATCCTATATGCGTGAGTTAAGAATTCTTTTCATTTTTGTATAATTTTTGTAAACTGTGTATTTGCATTTTTTACTTGATTCTCACCTTCTGGTGTTTAAAAACAAAAGTACAGTATTTTATCTTGGTCACTTGAATCATTCTTGTGTATTGTCAAGAGTAAAGATATTCATTCCCACATCAATAAGCACAATATCATAATTAAACAGCAGACATCAAGGAATACCTTGATGTCTGCTGTTTAATGATGATATTGTGCTGTTTAATGATAATATTGTGCATGATGTGACATCTTGCAAGTCAGATAGGAGCTCAGAGCCAAGCCCCAGTACAAACCAATATTTATAGAAAACTCATCAGTTACCCCATGTTAACTCCTTACTCTCATCGTGGACCCTTTGTACATATCAATGACTTCAATATATCCCTCCTTCACTTCTTAATGCCCACCAAATCACTTCTCTTGGGATTCTATGGTAAGCTTTCTCCAAGTCAATAAAAACCACATATAAATCTTTTCTTTTCTTGGTGCTTTTCCTTTGGTCAGTGCTGATGAAAAATGGCCCCTGGCAAGAACCCACACCAATTTTCCTCAATGACCAAACACATTCTCGACCTTCTTTCAATAACTCTCTTGCAGATTTTCAATGAGTGGCTCAAACATGCCCGTGTAACTCAAGCAATCTCAAACACCACCTTTGTTCTTGTATATCGGTAAAAGATAGCTTTTTCTCCATTCCTCTGGCATATTTCCCACATTCAAAATTTTATCAAATAATCCAGTTAGCCATTTGCAACCAACGTCTTCCACATCTCCATCAGTATTCCACCCAGGGCCCCAGCTTTCCCATTTTCCATTCTACTCTGAGTGATTGACCTCTCATACACCTATTATTTCAATCCCACATTCCTTTTTGTCCATCTCCGGATCCGTTTCAACCTTAGACCAGAAGTTCGGCAGACCATAGAAGCACTGTTTCTGACACTCTCTAACATATCTCTTGTCGGTCAGCACTGGTTGGTTTTTGTCCTTATTGCAGTGTATCCGTCCAAGATCTCGCTCTTCCTTTCTCTTATTTTGGATGGCCCATACATCTTCTCTTTATTATTACTAACTACATTAACAAAACGAACAAGGTCGACAAGAGCTCGAAAAATCCCCCAAGGAAACACAAATTTGGGAACCTCCACTCTAGATCATAATTTTATTTCAGACATGACCGGCATCTATAGTATTTAGGATTTTAGGTTGTCCCAACAACAACAAGAGTCAAAATCCCCACACTTTTTGGATAAAATAGTCCATAGGGGACGCTTTGTCATTCCCCATGGACCGTCGCTGCCCAGAGGGCACCAATAGATCAAGTTATCCAAGATATTCCACCTCGTGACGTTCCGTCCGTCTTCTTCGGGATCTGTCCCAGCCAGAAGCACTCGAAAACATAAACAACACGTGAGCAGTCGCGTTGAAGCTCAATCCGTAGCAACAATGAAAGACCATGGCAGACGCATTCCGAATCCGAGAGACCAACGACCCGTCCACAACAGCACCAGTACCAAATGTAGGAGAGGAAGTAACCCAACTTCTCCTACATATTTCGCATTTATAAGAGACAAGTGAGACGTCAGCCTGGGTACAAGAAAATACTAGATTCCGAGCAAGTTTCAGAGAAGATCAGATTCTATTTTGCCCGTAAAGTTTTTTGATCTCCCCAAAGTGCCCGGCACAGAAAATTTCGCCGGACAGTCTCTCCAAGAATCACTCCCGGATCTAAATTTTTTCCAAGAGTTTAATCACCCGGAGTAAAGACACCCAGAACAAACGGCAAGCCAAAGTCGGCTTAGTCCACCTGACATAAATCAGTTAATTTTGTTTTAATTTTATAAGTCACTTCTCAAATTTACAAAGTTTCCAAGAGAGGACGCGGCCAAAGGTAACGTCAGGCAACAATCCAAAACTCGCGACGCCATTTAGAAAATTTGCTTCACTCGGAGAAAATAATAATTAGGAAGTTTACGTAAAACGATAAAAGATCAACGCACATATGATTTTCGAGGTTTCCTTCGATACGAATTTAGACACAGCAAACGACAAACTTCCGAAAACGATAACAAGAGAAAAAGAATTATAAACACGAGAGAGATCCATTTTCCGATCCGACAGTCACGAGACACTTTATAACGCGCAGCAAGGAACGAAACGTTAACTTCGAAACTTCATTCGTATTATAATTTTAAAAAATTAAAACAATCTATAAAAAGTATAATCTGTTTTTATATGTTAACACTACATACTCCACATATATATAACGCACCGTACTTCAAATTTCATTTAATATTTTGTATGTAGACACAGTACAGTACATAAACGAATGGTGTAAGTTAGAATTTGAATTTTGACGAGATTGTAAACGGATTTAAAAAAAAAAAAAAAAAAAAACGAAATTGACACAGTTGATACTAATTACACGAATACAGAACCGTCTAGAAATATAATTTACCCAAGTCGATTCTTTTAATTTTCATTTTCTTCTCCGGTCACCAAAATGTAAGGCTATTTAATCGTCATTCAGGCAGACGATCAGGTGTTTCGGCAATAGGTGGCATGGCGTTTATCGCTTTTGTACCGTTGATCAGAGATGGCGTTGCAAGTACCGATTTCCAATCGATCGTTTGGCCGGGCAATTTCCACCACATCTTTACCTGACGGCAATTCTGTAAAAAATGACGCAAAGTTGTTACCGACGCGTATTCTATTTTTAAGGGTCTTTTTTATTCCCGAACAGAAAAAAACAAACTTTAGGTACATTCCGGTATGCATCGAACGGCGCATCGGTCAACCGCATTGTACAAAAGTGTGTTCCGATATTCACCGATACCAGCGTCTAGTCCAGCGTTGCCACAATGAAATTTCAAAACGTACTGAAGCTCCTTTAAAAAATGTACTATTTTCCTTCAAAATGTACTATTTCAATGGTTGATTGCTTTTGATATTAATATACCTTCATACTCAATTACTGTGTTTATTTCAAATTCATATTCATGAATACAGTGGGTGATCGATTAACGAACAAATCGGATAACAAACATTTTCGAAAAAAATTTTTATGTCCAGATTACGAACACCTCACAGAACAAACATAAGAAATAGCGACGTAAAATAATGAATACCGATTGGTCTACTCTTATCTTCGGGCAACAATTCGAAACTTTTCGAAGCGCGGGAGACGTCCACATCGACGCTCAATTCGGCATACACTGATCGGATAGTATTCTTCCGAACTTTGAAATTCTCCCTTGTAATTCTAGCCCTTTATTTCTCTGACGGAAACAATTCTTTTATAGTATTCGCGAGACCGTCGGGCGGGCACTCCTTAAGTTTTGTATGGGTTTTTATTTTCGAAAGGTGAGAGTATAATAGCAAAGGTAGAGAGTGGGCAGATGTCTGATGTCTGTTGTTGCTGGGCAGTATGGCTTGAACAAATCTACAGTAGGCCGTAGTTCAATCTTATCTAAGAAAGATACAGTATAATCGGGAAGACTTAAGCAGTTAAAGGAGTAACAAAAATCACATCTGAGAAATAAAGAACAATGAAGAGCTCATAATGGAACCTGAAACGGATCTGACGACAGAAGAACGTCAAGAACTCTTGAATAGAGAACACCAAGAAACTCGGCGAGATATGTTTTATTCTGAAAAAGAGGATTAATGCCGATATCTGCTATTAATTAAATTAAAGATCTTTTGAAGAAGTGGAAGGATGTCAGAATAACGGTCTTAGAATGGCATCCAAGCTAGGTTGAGGTTAATAGGCTTGAGGATTTCTACAATTACAATGCTATTAATTACTTCTAAAAAATCCCGAAGAAGAGAGAAAAGCAATCGACATTAGACGGATTCTTTAACCCCACAAACGGAGAAAACATGACTAATAAAAATGAAAGACTGCATATATATGTATTTTTACTATTGCATATAAATAAACGTAGTAAAAAAGTTTTTATTTTTTATTTTTTTGGAGTCTCCGGAACGAATTAATCAAATTCCCATAAAAACGTATGGTAAATCGCTAATCGGTAAACGAACAATTCGGATAGCGAACAAAGTTTTGGAACGGATTATGTTTGTTAATAAAGTCTCACTAGTCATACTAGAGAGACTTTATTAATTAAACTACAGTGGTACCTCAGGTTACGAACGCCCCAGCATACGAAATTTTCAGGATACGACATGAAATTCGAACATATTTTTGCTCCACGATACGAACAAAAACTCACCATACGACGTTACATTAGTTCGCATTTTTCATTTGTTTTTCTTACTACAGTTATTTTTTTAAATGTATTACTTGGCTTTAATTTGAGTATGTTTTTCGCGTTGGAACGAATTATTTCGTTTTACATGTAATCGTATGGGAAAAGATGATCCACCTTACGACATTTTCATGATACGATCTCAGTTTCGGAACGGATTAATTTCGTATCCTGAGGTACCACTGTAATTTGTTCGCATTTTCTCGTTAAAACATGACATATTATTTCGTACCATAAATGGTACTGAAATATTATAATGTACTCAAAATGTACTAAAAATCTAAATGTACTTTCAATGTGCTCGAAAAAGCAAAATGTACCCGAAAAGTACAAATGTATTAAGAATGGCAACGCTGGTCTAGTCCCGAGCCAACATTAGTTCTAAATTATGCCGCTACGACCACCGGCGCCAATGGCGGGACTCGATTTTGGTATTTTCTGGTCGTAGTTACAAATTACCAAGGCTTTATTCGCAATTTCTATTACTTAATTAAAAATGAAAATAAGTTAAAGTTTTAGATTACGTTACTTATAAATAAATGATTTTTTTATACGCCACATCGGCCTTTTCGCCCAATCAGAAGAGCAAAATTGCACGTTTATCCTTTGTTTCTCGTACCGTCGACGTCGTTCAACTGGTTATATGTAATAAAACAAAATGGAATATAGCAAGTGCGGTTTAAAACTCCAAAGCTATCCTAAATCCTAAATCTTCTTTTTTTGTAACACTTTAATCTATCCAATCTTAACATTTTTATACATTTCCATAATTAAATGTTTATAATTCTCATCGAGCCCTTTTCTTCTGGATTCAGAGAATTTTTGGGAATTCCGAAGGCATTCCATATTAATAATGTGAATATACAGGCTGTTAAGCCTGTATATAAATCTTTTAACTACCTCTCCTCATTTTTAACGAAAACTCCCCAAAATATTTTAAAATGAACACAAATTGTATGCAAAAAAAACAAACGGTCTAATCAATTTAAAGTTAAAAATCGTGAAAGTGACGTCAGGATTTCGAGAAAAACATTTACAAATCACAAGAGATTTTTCGATGTTAAATCTCGTCGTATAGCTAAAATTTTTCATTCTTGACAAATGTTTTCTATACCACAAAAATTAACCTATCTCGGCCAAAACTTTAAATATTGCAAAAAAAAAAAAAAAAAAAAAACAGCAACGGGTCGCGTAATTCTTCCGGCTGTTACAAGATATTTAAAAGAAATAACTTTATATTTTTAATGTTAATGAATAAAATTGTGTGTTGTGCCATTTTAAGACATTTTATTATAAAAACCTTTTTATATTATTAGTTATTGTAAAATGGCGAAACGCTTAATTTGGACGGTAGAGTTTATTTTAATTAATGTAAATGCTACCGGTAATAACGAGTAAAATCGTCATTAGGTCCGATTCATCTCGAGATATGATAGATGATCCCTCTCGACGTTTAACCACTAAAATTTATTAGCATTAATTCCCTTATATGCAAGCTACTACCGTACTAAATTTCGTTTCTTAATCATTACTCCGTCATGAGATAATAAACGAAATAGATGCCAACACTCGCGCGAGATTTGCAAAAAACTCGGAGGGTTAAATTTGACACGATTCCAATTTTTCCTCTCGTTACGTGTACACAACGAGGTAAGTAAGAAGCGCATTTGAAAGATATCCTTGAAAAGAATAATTTCAAGGATATTTTTCAATACGATACAGTTCGGCCGAATCTCATAAAATCAAAAATCTCGAGATTTTTTAATAAGTTGTAATTCAACATCAGCTTAACATAGAAATTTCCGGGTTGGAAAATCAGATAGAACATCAAAAACTACTCGTAATAGAGGCCCGACTCGAATCTCCGGATAAATATTTTTTGTTATAATCGTGTTCTGCATTGATTAAAAAATTTTTTATTCGAGATTGGCTAAGTAGGAAGTAAGATGGACGTTTTTCCCAGAAGTGAGAAAAGTAAGATGGACGTTTTTCCCAGAAGCGAAACATACGAGGTATTATAGGAAATGCAGCCGCCCTACCTATGATAAATAAACCAATGTTTTCTTTATCGTTTTTATGTTATTCTTTATCTTTACCTTCTCTTTTCCAACGTTAAGTTCAAAAGAAAAACGAACTTTCCTCCCCTGACGATGTGGCGGTTTGTTCTACAGCGAAGCTACTTTCGACTTCGAGTAAGCTTTTGAAAGTTTTAAAACCACATCGAAGTTTAGAAGCATCTTTCACATAGGCGGTACGAGTATTTTTTACTGTTTGTATAGCATTGTATCCTTTAGGAAATTTAAAAAGCACATATAATATGGTCGCTATGCATTTTATCTGCAGACATTTCGACATTTTCAGCAGCATGTTTCTAGGAGTTTCTTATAAAGTCTGTTCTTATTTATCAAAATTATTCTTTCATTAATTATTTAGTCAAAATTATTAGCTTTATACATAAGAGGTACATAACAGCAGGGGAAAAAGCGCATTTGAAAAGTATCCTGGATATTTTTCGATACGAAAAATTTTAATAATGAGTAACCGGACATCCGCGTAACGTAGAAACTTCCGGGTTGGAAAATCAGAAAGCATCAAAAAGTACTCCTAGTGGAGGATAAATATTTTTTGTTATAATCACGTTCCATATGGAATAAAAAAGTCACGAAGATCGCCCGCGTAGAAATGGAGGAAAGTGAGATGGAAGCCAGAGATACACCGACCGAACATATTAGGAAATGCGGCCGCACTGCCTACGATAAATAAACTTAACCGAATATTTTCTTCATCGTTTTTCATATTTCTTTATCCTTACTTTCTCTTCTTCCATGTCCAGTTCGAAAGAAAACAAACTTGTTCCCCCGATATACGGCACTTTCTTTCACGAGAAGCCACTTCCGGTTGGGGATGCCGCTAGTGACAACAGAGCGCTGCCGCTCTGGTTAGATATTATAGCCCCGTGGGAACGAATCGCCACCGACCACGGGTGTTCGGTGGTTTTATCCACTCGGTCACCAGATGGCCAGGACAGAGTTTAAAAAAAAAAGCTATATATTAATTTAATCTTTAATCTCGGGTGACACTGTGGCCCTGTTGGCATTTTCCAAGTGTCGAAAAAATACAAAATAAAACAAAACAACGGAGGAACAAATACATCAGGAGAAAAAAACTACAACTTGAAATCTAATACAGTTCAAATGATTAACAATCAATTTAAATGCAATACGGTAATAGTGATGAATAATATCACTGCACTATCTATTAAAAAAGTACTTTTTCAATGTTATCTCTTTCTTCTTCTTTCCCTTTTTTTCTTTTCCTGCTTTCCTTTTATTTATTTATTTTTTTTTCCTCTTTTCCTTTTTGGTGGATGGCCTTATACATTTTAATTATTAAATGCGCAGGGAAAACAGTCTTTAATCTGCAGAGGCATTGGTTTGCTGATTAGAAAACATCACTCTTTTAAAAATTAGGTTGAAGGGGTTTTTCTTTATAGTTGTTTTGAACTTCTTCTGATTAGTTATCTCTTGAATATATTTATTTAACAAATTCCAGTATTTTA